AATATATTTTCTGTGGTCCCGCTTATTCGGTAAAATTTACAAAATCTTCTGACGAGGTTGAACTTCAAGAAGATCTCAATCGTCAAAGAAAGGACAAAATGCAAGTTCCGTTTAGTTATTCAAATTTAAATGAAAGTTACAAAAATCAAGACTCTGCAGTTTCAGATGATTTTATTCAGAGTTATACAAAAGCAGAGCTTGAAGCAAAACAAGTTGAGCCTAAACCTTATATTCCTACTCTGATTTTAGAACAAAAAGTGGCTCAGCTGRAAAATATKTTAAAAGAAGAAAAACTTTCATTTGATAATCAAAAACAAGGGTTTTTAAATAAAATTGAATTTTTAGAAAACTCTATTAAGAAAACGGAACAAGYTGAGTCTGAATATTTTTCGTGCGATAAATCCTTGAGTGATGCTAATGACCCGGAAGAAATAAATGCTCTTAATGAAGAAATTAATTTTTTAAATTCAGATGTTTGTCTAGCTGATGAGGTTGGTAAGTTTGATATTACAAATAATTTACCCAGTCATGAAGACTTTATTGTTAAAAACACTATGACTGAGGATTCTGATCTACCTTCAGGTTTTACAAATAGTTTTAATCAAAAACCTGTTTCCGAGGATGTTTATTATAAAAAGAATAAATTCAAAAAGAATCCGAGGAAATAGAAGAAGCTTACAAAGAAAAAGAGAGTTCAACATTCAAGTAAATCTGATAATTTTCTTTTTCCTTATTCAGATAATGCGTTGGATTTAAAGACTTATTGGAGAGTAAAAGAAGAAGTCAAATCATCTACTCAACTGAATAAGAATAATTTTACTAAATCCATATTAAATGATTCGAAATTGAATAGTTTTGTAACAAGATATTCAGTTGATGAATTATTTGATATTAGAAATAGTAAAAATTATTGTTCTCCGAGTAGAGTAAATGAATTATTTCAGTCTTTTACTTCTTTTAGACCATACCATTTCATGCATTHTRTGCTATCTTTTGTATCTAAAAGTGCTGAAAAGAAAATATCTTATAGAAATAAATGGTTTGGAAGTTACAACRTACCCCAACCAAATTCTAACATATTAGGACCCAAGTTCGTTTGGGTACCAAAATCTACTTGATTTGGCTTTGCAGGTGTGTCAAATTTATGCTGATCAGAATATCATTTCAATGATACACCGATGCAGGGGGAGTTGTGATTTATTTCATTCTAAGGYTTCTAAACATCCAGTTTAGGACCCGAGCTTAAATTCTAAGGCTTCTGAACACTTCAGTTCAGAACCCGTGCTTTACCGAGTGTGGTTTCTAAACACCCAGTTTAGAACCCGTACTTAAAATGTTTTTCTTTTAATTTTTGAGCGCAAATGATTCATTTCTTAAATCTACTTTCTAGGGGGAGTTTCCTAGAAAATTTAATAATTGGTTTTGAAAAATGTTTTTTTTTTTGGGATAACGAGTACATTTTCTGAACAGGTATTTCCTGAGATTTTACTTGCGTAACTTCTCATCGTACATAATTCCAATATCTGTTTCAGCTTCTTCAAACTGTTATTATCAC